AAAAGAAAAGAAAGAAGGAAAACAAAACCAAACCTCCCTTGGTTCAGTTTCCTCCTCCAGCTAACACCTTATTTCCTCATCCCTTCATAATCTAACTTCTCTAAAGAACTGTGACTACTGTTTCCAATTCCTTGCGACAGCCCCACCTCTCCTATGCTGCTCTTGCTAAGGAATCCAGCATCCTCCCCGGTGCTGAGCCCAGATGACTCCCATCTCTCGTGCATGTCTCCTGGATGCCCTCCCCTCTCTCCCAGTGGCCCCCCTGGGCAGCTCCTCACCCACTGTTTGTTCCTCCAGATCCAGTCCTTGGCCTCTTCCCTTGTTGCATCTTCTCCCTGAAAGCTCTCACCTGCTTCTGTGGTTTCCTGTGCCATCTACCTACCAACAATTTCTCAGTTGACAGCTCTTTCCAGTTTACCTGTCTCCTGAGGTCCAGAATCATAATCAACCCCCGGAACTCTCTGCATGACACCCTCCAGATTCCTCAGACCCAGCATTTCCAAACCCACGTTCATACACATCTTCGTACACGTTTGTCCCCAAAATCTGCCTCTCCTACTGAACCTGGGGATGGAACCATCACCCACCCCAAAACTAGCCAGGAATACGGAATGTCGTTTTCTCCATTGTTTATATCAATATGAAGAGGGATGTCCTGTGGAGGCAGCCCCTCCCCTCTGCAGGCCCACCAAGTGATTTTTACCTTGAAATTAGCAAACCAGAGTGAAAAGAGCCAGATGTAGCAGGTCATGGGAGGAGACTCTGCCACAGAGTTCTCCAAATCTAGTACTCAAGGATTCCATACCCAGGCACTGACAGGGCTGCCCGCCACTGAGCCTCCTCTTCCTGGGTCTCAGATGCCCACATTTTAAAATTGAGATAAAAAATGCATTCCTCCTGTTTACAGTCCAGTCTTATGGCTCTCTTTTGATGAGTTTTGCCAGATTCTGCTCTGATCCAGCTGTGTTGATGCCTCCAATTAACAGAGCTCCAAGGGCAATCTTTCTTTCCTTCTCCTGCTACATGGAGGGGCCCTCGCTGACCCTCACATCTGGCTACGGTGGAGGTCTCGATGCCTCTCTCTCCTGTGCCCACCCATGCCAAGACCTGGCCTGCTCTACCTTCCACTTCCCTCCAGCCCACTGGCTCACTCCCCAACACAAGGTGGAGGCCTGGATCACCTCCACCCTAGCCTCCCTGCCTCCTATTTGCCCTCTGTCAGTCTGTTTACCACCCTGAAGCCAAAGTGATCTTTCTAAAACATAAGTCTAAGCTTGTCTCTCCCTTGCTTAAACTCCTTCCATCGTTCCCCATCATCCTCAGAATAAGGTAAAGCCTTTTGACCTGGCCTCAAGGATCTGTGTGACATCCCTGTCCACCTCCAGCCTCATCCTCTCCATTCTGTCCTCCCTGTCACCACTGCAGAACTGCTGAGCTACTAACACAGGTATGTCCTAGACCCCAAAAGACAATTTAATTTCCTAAACACACTGCTTTTTCCAGGCTGTATGCCTTTCTGCACAGATAGCACCTTCTGCCTTTTCTTCTGCACTTCCTGCCACAGGTTTCTACCTCCAGATCTTTGAGGATGCGCCTCATCATCACCTCCCTGGACCTCCCTGACTCCCCACGCTGAGAGGAGCCCTTCTCTAGGCCTAAGGGTTGGTAACACTTGTACTGTGTTATTCATCTCTCCTACAGACCTAGTTCCTCTGAGGCAACCTCTTTGTCTTGATTCTTCATCCTCTGGCCTCAGCATAGGACCAGACCCAGAGTTGTTGATCAGACACTGCTGGTTGCTTAGGAAAGAGCGACCGTATCTGGCTCACAAAGACTGGGTTGACTTGAGAAGAAGAAAGGTGATGAAGAAAGCAAATGCCCCAGGGTGTTTTGTAGCAAGAATCCCTCCACAATGATTTAACACCTGACATTTATCTGCCCAAAATGCCTATACTTTATCTCCTTCTAACCCCTTCTAACCCAGTAAGGTAAAAATGATTATCTCCACTTTGTTGACAGGGAAACAGAAGCACAGAGAGGTAAAGTGGCTTAGCTAACCAGGCACAGCAAAGGCCTGTGATCAATGTTTACTGAATGAAAATGAGCCACAGCCCTGTCTTCACTACACAGTACAAGGTCAAGGGCACTGTCACAGCAAACGGCATCACTGGGAAAGAGGCCTCTGCAGTCTCAGAGAATCTCATTTCCTTGGTCTGGGAGCTGATATTCTACACACACACACACACACACACACACACACACACACACATCAGATTTGTTGGCTTCTTTCAAGGGTTCCAACCTCAGGCCAGCAATATAGCTGAGCACCTACTACATGCAAAGTCCTCCCTGGTTCCTAGACTGGAATGAGGGGGACCCTGGAAGAATAGGACATGTCCCCATCTCCAGAAGACACATTCTGAGAATTGAGGAGGATGACAGGTAGGTGCTACCAAGGCCTCCAGACTGTAATTGGAGACCAAGAAGGAGAAATTAATCCTGATGGACAGCTCTTCCCTGCCCCCAGTCCCTTTACCCACCAGTCTTCCTCCCCCTCCTACTCCCATCATTGCTGGGCCTAAGAATCAACTTTGCAGTAACCTTTTATGGACTCACAATGTTATGAATTAAAATGCAGAAGTCCTGGACCCAGTCTTGACCTAACTCCTGAGCTACTAAACAGACGTAGACAAATACTTTGCACCCTCTGAACTTCAATGTCCTCGTTTTTACATTAGGGAAAATAATCCCCTCTCTGCCCTCCCCATTTCTCAAGTTCAGGTATGAATCCAAGGGAGAACAGAGGCGCCACACCCTGGAGGACTGCAGAAGTTGTGTTTGCAATGGTTCCCCAGGAAACCTTTGTAGTTCTCACAAGTAGTCACCCCTCCAGCCTTTGTTGCTCAACCTGTTGCCAAGGGAAGGCCCTTCAGACAGTTGTGTTAGAGCCAAGAAGCCAAAGCTAGGCTGTGTTCCAGGCCCTCTGCATACTCTCAAGGTGGGGGTGGGGGCCGTTGGGGGAAAGAAAACAGCCAGTTCTGACCTGGAGGTGAAGGTGCAAGGTCCCTGTCCTAAAGAAGCCCCTGGCTGAGGGCAAACACAATTTGACGAAGGCAGGTAGAAGTGAAAAGGGAACAAGAAGAAAGGGAGAAAGTTCTCTCTAAATACCTCTTGTACCGCTTTAGTGTCAGACCTCAACCTTCCCTTGGCCCTCCTGTGTACTTAGCAAACCCTCTCCCAAGCCTTCCTGGTCCCTGTGCTTTTCTTTTCCATCATGCTTTCTCCTCTGTGGATACTCTCCCTACTCTCCAACATTCACTACTGGTTCATTCAATGATGCCTACACTACACTAGGCTTTATGCTGAACCCTGAGGGTACAGGGATGAATCAGATCAGATCTCCATCCTCCAGAAGCCACAGCCTAGTGGGGAAGATGAACAGGTAAACAGAAGACAACAACCCAACAGGACAAGTGCTGAGACAAAAAGAATGGGGCTAAGGCAGAACCCTGCGGGGGAACCTCGCCCAGCTCTGGAACAAGGCTCTGGTGTCTGTTTTCCCCTCAGACTATAAGCTCTTTGAACCCCAGGCCTGGGTCTGATTCATCTCTCTGACCTACCCTTTCCTTTCTTGGATGTCTTCCGGATGCATGTTACAGGGTTATCTGTCAGGGCAAGAATAAGCCTAGAGGTCAAGCTCATTTCTAGTGTCAATCAAGGAAGAGAAACAGTGCCCCCCGCCCAGACTGAGAATGAGGAAAGTGGGTTCAGGAGGTAGAAGAAGGAACTTGCCTCACCCTGAGCCTCAATCTCTGGCATCTCAGCCGGGTGCGGTGGCTCACGCCTATAATCCCAGCACCTTGGGAGGCCGAGGCAGGTGGATCACTTGAGGTCAGGAGTTTGAGACCAGCCTGCCCAACATAGTGAAACCCCATCTCTACAAAGTGAAAACATTAGCCAGGTGTGGTGGCACATGCCTGTGGTCCCAGCTACTTGGGAGGCTGAGGCACAAGAATTGCTTGAACCTGGGAGGCAGAGGTTGCAGTGAGCCAAGATTGCGCCATTGCACCTCAGCCTGGGAGACACAGCAAAACTCCCCATCTCAAAAAAAAAAAGAAAGAAAGAAAAGTCTCTGGCATCTCTACCTGGGTTCCCCAAGCTGGCTGCAGATCAAAACACTAACACTTAGACAGGTTTTTAAATGTAAACTCCTAGCTCCAATCTGACAAATTAGAATCTCCAGGGATTGGAGGTCGAGGAATTTGCTTCTCCCAGTTGATTCCAATTCCCTGCCCTGTGTCTAATTAGAAACCTCTGGTCTAGATCCCCATGACAGTAGGAAACTGAGAGGTCTTCCTAAGAGCAGGGGCTAAGGTAGTTTTCACCCTGGAGTAATAGGAGTTACTCAGTTCCTGGAGTAACAGGAAGATGAACCATGATCTGAACCTGGGAAGGTATCACGGCTCCTGAGCCACCCATAGGCATGGCCGGGAGAGCCCTGCCTTTGGGGACACCAACCACCTAGACACTCGGTGAAGCCTGTCATGTGGTAGTACTCATCTTCATGCTCACTCTCATTTCCTGCCTTATAAATGGAAATCTTTACACTACACACAACAACGCGGATGCTGACTGAGCTTTCAACGGATTGCCTACTTCTATGGACTATTCAGAGGTTTTGGATTTCTGCCATTGCCTTTCTGTCACTGCTGAGCCTTTAGCAGAACCTGGTCCGAACTTCGGGCCTCAGAATGAAGAGAAGGCGTCTGTGGCATGCTTGAGCCCTGACTTGGAAGTTGCCCCCGCTTCTGAAGTCAGCTTGAAAGGCTGGAGTGAAGGAGAAATTCCAGTGGGAAAGCTGAATGGAAGCCATGGATCCCAGGACATCATCCCCCTGCCCAAGTTTGAAGTCTCTCTCCACAGCACCCTAGGAATTAGACCTGATTCTCTGAAAGAAGGGAGGATGTTTTCTTTCTCCTCAACCCCCGACCTCCACATACCTCCAGGGCATGTCCAAAGAGCCAGTGAGTTGGAGGCCCTGGGAAGTTGCCCATAGCCTTAGCCAACCTCTGCCTCCGCAGCAGCAGGCGGATGAGCTTGAGAAAGCCTAAGACCAAGATCAGCCCAGAAGCCCACAGGCCCAAGCAGGAGAGTCTCAGGGAGAGGAAGCTGGGCACCATGGCTGGAGCTCCAGTCACCCAGCCTTCGTTCGACTTGCCTCCAGCTGCTCCTGGTTTCCTTTATACTCCGGACCTATGCATCCTGTCAGCTCCTAGCCCCAGCCACTCCCTGAAGCCAGCAGCAGCCAAGACTGGGCTGAGTGCCATAAGGCGGAGACAGCAACCCCCAAAGCCACAAACAACAGAAGAGAGAGCCTAGTGGCCTTCTCCCAAAATTCAGCTAGAGAGAAACCTAATAGTGAACTCCAAAAAAAAGCAGGCAATGGGCATCCCACCTTGATTCCTTCAAACAAACAGATGTCAATTCTTGGTGTAATCATCAGCATAATAACCACTGCCTTCTCATACAAGCACTGTGAATGTTTCAGGCACTTTTTACATACTATCTCATTTAACCCAAACAGCAAAGGAGGTCAGAGGCACTCACATTTTATACCCATTTCCCAGATAATGAAGCAGAGGCTCAGCTTGCCTACGCTTTCTCTCAAGAAAGCTTCCAGTGTCCCCTTCAATATAAACCCTTGAGAGAGCTAGCACTTATGCTAGGCTCGCAATGCTTTGAATTCTTTTTTGTGAGTCACCTTCAGAGACAAGGTTCTAGCCCCAAAAGGGAAATACCAGGTCAGAAAGGGGCCAACTCCACCCCTAAAACAATAGTGCCATTTTGACACTTAGGAACATAGAACTTTCAGGGTGATGAGAAGAAGCCATGAAATTCAGTCCCTCCTGGCTGGATGGAAGCACTTAGGCTCAAAGAAAGGCAGAGAAATATCCAAAGTTGCACAGCAAGACAGTGGCAGCACCCAATGCCACAGCCCAGGCTCAGGTCACTGCCTTGCCTGGGGAGGGTATGCTACCCAAAGAGGCAGGCAGATTTAAGAAATCAAACAAGATATGATGTGGCATGCAGAAACTAGAAACAACAAGAAATGCATCAATACCCCAAGACTAAAGGAACAAGGGAAGGAAATCATGCTGCTGTAGCTTGGTGGGAGTTGTATTTATGGGGAACACAGTCAGTGCCAGAGAAGTGATGCTGGAACAGGGAAAGAACGGAGCAAAAATGTCCTAAACTCTTTCATCTCCCATCCCCAATCTCTTACTAGTGTCTCCAATCAGCCAAGCCAATCAGAAGTGAAATGGCAAGGAGCCTGGGGAGTCAGTCTGCAGAAGTCAGCCTCCCAGCAGAGATAAGAGCAAGAATCTGTAAGTTCCTTATAGATTCTGGACATTAGTCCTTTGTTGGATGCATAGCTTGAAAATATTTCTCCCATTCTGTAGGTTGTCTGCTTACTCTGTTGATAGTTTTTTGGCAAGGAGGTGGCAGGAAAAAACCAGCAATCAGGTGGACTTGGATCTCAAATCTCAGAACTCAGATAACAGGTTCTAATTCAAAGAATGATAAGCCATCAACATGGATTCCTTGTCCCCTCTGGCACAGGAAACCAAGCCTCCTCCTCTGCTGGGGAGACATCATGTCCAATCTTACCCATAGGCAGAGAAAGCAAGAAGAGAGTACAATGAAAGAACTCCAAAAGTGTCTTCTCCATCGGTCTGTCACACTTCCTGAAATTTCACATTTGTGCTTTATTTTATTGGATTGAGACATTGAGTGTGCCATTTAAAAAGCAAGTCACTCAAGTCAGAGAATAAAGGAACATGATGAGCTATCAGCAAAATTCCATTCTTTATGGTGAATTCATTTATCAGCATAGTTTCATCCTGGTCATATGATGGAGTGTTTTGAGGAGAGCCTGAATGGGCTCCCACCTGGTGAAAGAGCCATGGCTCCTGGCAAGGACCACATAGGATTCACCTGGAAAGTGAATAGGGTTAGCTTAGAAGATGTCAAGTGAGTAGAGTGGACGTTGGTTGAATGACTCCCCAGCAATCTGTTCCTTGCTTCCCCCTTCCACCCAGTACCATGAATTTACAAGCTTTGGGGTGCATTCTGAGTGCCCTCACCCTCAACTCCAGTATGGGCTTATATTTATTTAACATAGTCTGCATTCATCTTGCCCATAGTAATTGATTGTTTCAAGAATAGGCACATGACCACAGTCAGCCGATCAGGACAAATGAAATTCTATTTCCAGTATTTAATTTAAGCTATCTTGAAACAGATTATCTCTTCAATATTGAAGTCGATCCTAAAGCATGTAATCTCAGAAGCCATCAATGTGGGAAGAGGCAGACAAGAATGTACTCAACACTATAGCAACAGAACTGAGAAACATACCAAGAGGAACTAAATATCAGTCACATTGTTTGAACTCCTGGATCAAGCTTCACCTGAAGCTAGTTACCTTTTACATTTTATTTTATTTTATTTTATTTTATTTTATTTTATTTTATTTTATTTTTTAGACTCAGGGGATACATGTGCAGTTTTGTTACATGGCTATATTGTATGATGCTGAAGTTTGGGCTTCAGTTGAACCCATCACCCAAATAGTGAACATAGTACCCAATAGGAAGTTTTTCAACCCTTGCCACTCTTCTTCCCTCCCCACCTTCGGAGTCCCCAGTGGCTATTGTTTCCATCTTTATGTCCATTTGTACCCAGTGTTTAGCTCCCACCTGTAAGTGAGAACATGCAGTTTTCTGTTTCTGCATTAATTCACTTAGGAAAGTGACCTCCAGCTGCATCCATGTTGCCACAGAAGACATGATTTCATTCTTTGTTATGGCTGTGTAGTATTTCACAGTGTATATGTACTACATTTTCTTATCTGACCCCACTGCTGATGGGCACCTAGGTGGATTCTGTGAGTCTTTGCTATTACAGATAGTGCTGCAATAAACATGCGAGTGGAGGTATATTTTTGGTAGAACAATTTATTTTCCTTTGGGATTATTGGGTCAAATGGTAATTCTATTTTCAGTTCTCTGAGAAGTCTCCAACTGCTTTCCACAGTGGCTGAACTAATTTACATTTCCACCAACAGTGTGTAAGTGTTCCCTTTTCTCTACAGCCTTGCCAACACCTGTTATTTTGTAAGTTTTTAGTAATAGCCATTTTGACTGGTATGAGATGGCATCTCGTTGCGGTTTTGATTTGCATTTCTCTGATGATTAGTGATGATAAGCATTTTTTCATACGCTTCTCAGTTAGTTGTGTATCTTCTTTTGAAAAGTGCCTGTTCACGTCCTTTGCCCACTTTTTAATGGGATTGTTTACTGTTGACTTAAGTTCCTTATAGATTCTGGATATTAGTCCTTTGTTGGATGCATAGCTTGAAAATATTTCTCCCATTCTGTAAGTTGTCTGTTTACTCTGCTGATAGCTTTTTTTGTTTTTGTTTTTGTTTTGTTTTTGAGATGGGGTCTTACTCTGTCACCCAGGCTGGCGTGCAGTGGCACAATCTCAGCTCACTGTAAGCTCCGCCTCCCAGGTTCATGCCATTCTCCTGCCTCAGCCTCCCAAGTAGCTGGGATTACAGGCGCCCGCCACCACACCTGGCTAATTTTTTGTATTTTTAGTAGAGACGGTGTTTCACTGTGTTAGCCAGGATGGTCTCCATCTCCTGACTTCGTGATTCCCCCACCTCAGCCTCCCAAAGTGCTAGGATTACAGGCTTGAGCCACCACGCCCAGCCATTGATAGTTTCTTTTGCTGTTTATTTAGTTTATTTAGGTCCCAATTGTCAATTTTTGTTTTTGTTGCATTTACTTTTGAGGATTTAGTCATGAATGCTTTGCCCAGGCCAATGCTTTGACTCTTTTTATTACATGAGCCAACAAATCCACTTTGTTTAAATTCAATCTGAGTTGGGTTTTCTGCTGCTTGAAACCAAAGTATTTCTAGGTGACATACTAGTGAAAACCCGGGAAAATGGGAAAGCCTTGGTTAAGTTGGGCTGAAACATATTTAGGGGGTTAGCTTGGAACAAACTGAATGAAATTAACCTGGGAAGGGACAAGTGGGATTATGTTGGTACATTTTGAGCAGTGGGGCTTGCCCGGGAAATACTGAGGGGGTTCATAGAGAAGTTCTAAGTGATATTATCCTGGGCAAAGTTCCCATAAGATAAGAGCGAGCAATGATCTGGATATGGTGAAAGTGAGGGGCTTAGTTTGGAGAAGAAACAGATATCTGAGACGTTATCAAGCAGAAAACACGAAGGACAGGAACATGTCAGGAAACTGGAGTGTCAAGAGCAGGGTTAGCACGGAGCTTCAATAGGGGGGTAAGGAGACTAAACTTTGTCTTCTAGGCTGCAGGGGGCCATGGAGAGGGCCTAAGGCAGAGGGACAAGAGTTATCAGAGGTGAGGTCCAGGAAGATCACCCCCTCTGTATGTGTGCCATGACTTGGGCTGGTAGGGGTGAGGCCTGCAGAAGGCTTGGAGAGGAGAGGAAGCTATCAATGCACTGATCTTTGTGAAAGATGACAAACCTGGACAAGGAGGTGGCAGAAGGCATGACTCAAGGCTGGTGGGGTGCAAGGGGGCTAGAGCACAGCCTGGAATGGCAGACAGGGAGAGGAAGTCAGAGGGAGGATGAGCGGAGAGGATGTTGCTTGTGCCTCAGAGGTCCTACATAACTTCTCCTGCCAGAAATATAGCCCAGCACTCATGATCTATCTGTCATACACCCTGCTCTCCGCCCCTTGGCTGAAATCTGGCAGCCACCCACATTTTTAGGGCAAAAAACAAGTCATCATGTGACCAGAGCCAAAGGCTAGGCTTCTGTCAACTCCCAGGTCCTGAGCCTACTAGCTACTCACCCCTGGCCATCTTGCCAGTGTGATTTGTGGAAGCCAACATTCTTGGAAGCTTCCACCCAGTAGTCCTAGTTTTTCCCTTAAGAATCCCACAGAAAACTTCAACTGTAAAAAAAAAAAAAAAAAAAAAAAGGCTTGTAGGTGGCCCCCAGTCCATTAGTGTGCTGGAACAGGCTGGCACTGGCTCTCAAGAGCAGATTGTGTATATCACTTCCCAACTCTAGGTTTGGTGTCACATTAGCAGCTTGAAATTGGCCATGATGGGAGTATTTAACATTTACATGACAGAAATTGGCAAATGCTACAAATCCCACTTTTTCCCCTGAGAAGCCAGTTGTTAAACACTTCCCAACATACCA